ATTGTAATAAATGGGATATATAAAGCTCTTCTGCTTTCTCAGCTTCCTGCACTCCGCTGTCGTGGGATCCCAATGGCAGAAGAGCTGTGCTGCACGGCAGCAGCTGTACAACAGGGACATGGAAAGCACTGGAGAGAGGAAATCCTGCAAAAGGGAAACAGGAGCTCTGGTTGGCAGTGTCTGCTGTGTGGGCAGCACTCTCACAAAGACTCAGGCAGTGACAAATGTGGGACAGGAGGACCCAGATGCCAGCTTTGTGTTTTGCTTGGACCGTTGGGGTTTTCAACACGAAGCTTCTCCTGAAGGAGGAGGCTGAAATCTTGCTGCTGTTGGTGGCTCTTCGATGCTTTGCTGAAAGGCTGAAGCAGAACAAAGTAACTTTAGAACAAAAAGTGGAGCTCAGTGAGGCACAGTTACAGAGCATACAGCCTTGGTACGTTATGTTTAACCCACCAATAGACCCGGCTGCGTACTGAACTGCGTACTTAAATCCAATCACCCCGAACCCAGTGAGTCAGAAGATTAGGAATGTCATCACGAGAGCTGGTAATAAGGCACATTCCTCACATCTGTGCAGTTCTGTAGCAGCTGGATAGCCCAACAGCCCCAGGTGGCTCCAGGTGAGTTGTGTTTCACCATTGCCCTCCGGTGGGAGCAGGACCAGAAGGTGAGCAGTGTCTGATTCAGAGACACCGGTCTGCAGCACCCTTGCACCAATTGCTCCTCTTCACTGCACAGAGAATACATGCCTGCTCCCTGCTTGCCAGGATCAGCCCCAGCCCCAAACCACGAGAATCTCTGCATCAGCTTCTGTGGGTTTTTCTAACTTCGTAATCCTGCAATTCTCCCTTACCACCCATCCTTCATTTTTCCTTTTACAGTGCATGGAGACGACGACGTGCAGAGAAATGTGCCAATTTACCTGCGGATGGCTGACTTAAATTGCCTGCTCCCAGCCTGGTGGTGTAAATCCTCCCCTGCAGCTGAGGAGCTCCATTTACTATAGCTGGTTTCCAGGGCAATCGTGTGCTCTCCCACATTCCGCTGCACAGTGCAGGCAGCCTTCCCACCCTCTGCTTCTGATTCCATTCACATCTCCTAAGGATAGAAGAAAAAATAGTCCACAAATACCTATTTCTACCTCAGAACACTTTTCACTGATAACTGCATAATATATATATATATTTATATATAATCACATCAAGAGCACCTGCCCCTTTCCGGGCATCATTTGACATGCAACATAAAACCCAGATTTTCTGAAGATACAGTTCTTGGCTGACATGTTTTATACTTATTATTTCAGGGCATCAATAGGAAAACACAAGGTTGACGTTCCCTTGTGTTTCTGACTGTAATCACTGCAAAGAAAGTCAGAGTCTCTATTGCAGCGCATCCCTCTCCAGGCTTGTCCCCAGGCTTGTCCCTAGGCAGTCCCATGGTGACCTCCCACTGCATCTGGCACTTCACTGCACAGCACTCAGTGCTCAATGCGTGGCACAGACCATGGGAATCCAATCTGCTTATTGCTAACAGGATGGGAAACTGAACGAGCTGCGAGGGTTGGAGGAGGTGGTTCAGTGGCATCAGCAGAAATTCTGCAGCCGGGTTTGGGCTCATCCCCACATATCTCTGAGCACTGAGCATGAGTGCTGCTATCCCACAGCATCACCTGCTGAAGAAGCAATGTGAGCCTTATCTCAGGAGCCAGTGTGGCATCATCGGAGGGGCAGCCCGCTTATCTCAGTCTTGTTTTCCTGTTGGTTTGAGAAATAACACCTTCACAAACGACATTAATATGCAGTAATAAGGCCTGAGTTCCTTGCAGCTTCAAATCAGACCCCTATCCATTAAGTGTCTGTATCTACGTCCCTTTTAAATCCAGCCACTGTTTTGTCATGGATTTCAATGGGTGCAGCCCATAGCTGTCAGATTCAGGATGGTACACAGTTTTTTCATCAGCTGCCTCTTCCCACCATATGCTTACTGCAACATTCATGTCACATCAGCTTGCAATCGAAGCCCACATTTGTGCCGTGATTGTTTGCTAACTGAGAATGTCTGTGAGAAGTGGCTGACAGTACAGCTCTTCAGTCAGGCGCCAGGAAGAAAGAAAAGAGGTTCAGTTTTCTTTCCTCTTCTCTGAATGAAGTTATGGGACCTGTGGGGTGTATTTGGTAGACAGATCTGTATCTGTGTGATATGCAGCAGCTTCAAACCACAGAGACTTGGGAGGAATGTCTGGTTTTGGTTCACAGAAATGCTCACTTCCTGAATTCTGCTTGGCCTTGTGGGTTATTGGTTTAAATATTTCCTGAACAGTGACAGTGCGTGTCAGTGTACCTGACGAGAGCAGGCATGAGCTGTGATGGGGAAAATGCAGAGACTGCCGTCTGTGGGATAACACCATGCAGGAGGAATTCAGCATCTCTCTTGGTAGGTTCCTAGTGACATGAATTGTCCCCATATCCCATCCTGCAAAACCCTCCCCTCACCTCTGGAGGAGTCCCTCCAGGCTCACAACAGTCCACTGCAACTGGTGGTGACAGTCAGAGCACCTGCAAGAGAAGTTTGGTGTCTGAGGGCTGATGCTTCATAAATGCCACATGAGAGAAAACGCAGGGCCTGATTCTGCCTTTGCTACATGTGACAGCAGCTGTGCAATCCTCAGGACAGAGCCATAGAGGACTGATTCATTTTGCTCATACACACCTGGGATACAAACCCAAGAAGTTCTGCTCCTCTCCACCTGGGCTCCCACTTGGCTCCTGCCCCGGAGTTTCACACTCTGCAGAAGTGGGACTTGGCCCAAGGGTAAATAGGTTTCGGTTCCTCAGCTCTCAGCAGATTTGTGGTCTAACACTCCAAGATGTGCAGCTCAACACGCCGGCAATCTGTCTTCTCCTGGCTCCTGTCAGCTCCAACAGCTTGCTGAGAAGAAGCAGTGCCAGCAGCGATGCCAGCCTGACCTGAGCAAACTCAGACACAAGACTGCACAGCACAGTGCCTGTGCTGCTGCCCCACATAGGGGCCCCCAACCCGAGTGGATCCAGGGCTTTCCCACTTACTGCCAGCTTCCCCGCTTCCCAAACCTCTGCTGAAAGCTGCTCTCCTGCTGCCAAGGTTCCACATTGCTGTTCTCCCTGCACACATGTACTCAGCAGGACGGCTGCCCATGGACCCTGCAATTACGGCTCTTATCGGCGCACCCGAGTAGCTGTGGCTCTCTGTTGGACAAGCTCTGCATTCCTAGCACTGCAACCTCTAATCAGGCCAAAACATTGGTTTGGAACGGCTCAAAGTGGGAGCTTTGTGACTCCAGTCTGCAGCTCAGGAATTCCTTGTTTGGTTAGACTTGAAGAGCTGAAATGCCGGTAATATCTGAGCACAGACTGCAGTGACATTCATTACATAAGCAGCTGAAGTCTGCTTCTTCAAGAGAACTTCTCTAGAGACCACAGGGATCCACGCAGATGAAAGGATGTGGTGTCAGTATCTTGCCTCGCCATCTGAGCACTTTCCAGTAATAACGAACCCTCACAAAATGACATTGCTGCTTCAAGCAAATCTGCACGATTATAAAGCATGGGCATTGAGACATTACCCAGAAACAAGAGTCGCATTCAATACAAACCAACATGCTGATGGAACAGAACATTACTGTGCTTTGCTCTGCAGTGAGGTGGGACCCAAAGATATGACTTCTTTCCTCAGAGTACTGATGGAAACTCAACCCCTGACAGCAGCAATTGATGGTTACTGCTGTAGAGAAACAAGAAAAGATTTTACCCTCCTTTGCTTGTCTTTATTATCACATCCATGTGCCCTCCATCACTGCACCAACAGCATGTAGATCCAGGAGCTGCCCAGTGTCAGCTTATGGGAGAGGATAACTGTGGAAAGGAAATCCCCAGCTTGGAGAAATAAGAATCTCACAGGAAACAAATGTCTATGGATCATCTGAGGAGCAGCACTGAGTCAGCAGCCTCGTCTTAGATGTTATAACCTGATTGTAGTGATTTGGGGTGTAACCATGGAACTGTGACTGTGGGGCACGCAGCTGCAGGACCCCTTCCACGTAACCCAAATAGCAACGGCAGCACACAGCATATTGCCAACAGAGGAGAGATGTGAGGGTGGTCACAGCCACCTGCAGCCACAGCCGTGGTGGGGCTCAGGCAGTGAGGGACACTGCTGCCCATCTGAAAGATGCTGTGCGTAAAGGCCGAGTACAGAAGGGAGAGCAGAGTGATCACTGCAGGAGCAAAGGGCGTTCCTGCTGCCACCCGCTCCGGGTTGGCTTTGCTCAGGTGTCAGCGCTGCTCTCCTGGGTTGTCCTGGCATAATCCCCCCGCCCCAACAGCATCCCAACGCTGAGCTCTTCGTCCCCTTTCTGCGGTCGGAGTTTGCCCTCTGCTGTTTGCTGCACGAACTGGAACGTGAGGAGCGAGCATCGCCGACCGCAGCGCTTGCCCTCGGATTCCAAGCGCTGCAACTTAGCAACAGTGACACTAAAGCAGCAGTCCCACCCGCAGCCCGACCTTATCCGTCACAGCGCCCCGGGGAGCCCGCAGGGCTGTGTCAAGAAAGCTGCTGGCTTCTCTCCACAAATTTGCCTGCTGAAATCAGTTCTGGGCTCCTCTCGTTGCTGTTTGTTTTCCCCATCGTTCCCAGCCGTCTCTCCGGCGCTGTGGCCGTGAGCCCAGAGCCCAAAGAAAGGTGCGGCGGTGCCGGAGGGGTGCGGGGCTCCCGAGCACGGCCCTGTGCCTCCCAGAGCTCGTGGGCAGGGCAGGCCGGCCTGGCACCGCTGTCAGAGCAGGGTCTGGTGCCGGGGAGCAGCCCGCGTGTGGTTCAGCTCCGGGAAGCAGCCGAGGATGGGATCTTGGAAGTGGCTGCGGGGATTTGCTGCTGCAGAGCAGCTCCAGCTCTTCCACAGATCCCAGTCTGATGTGCTCCTCTAGGTGCATTTCTACAGCTCCTAAGGGGACGGTGTTCCGTGCATGGATGAGGCTACAAAAGGTAAGTGTTAAGCAGGATGAGTGAAAATACACATGGGTGTAATGAAGACCTCAAAGGAAAGCAATGACCTTTTTGGGCAATTATTGCAGGTGTGGATCTCAAGGAAGCAGGACTGTAGCACAGCTGAGGGATGGACGGCAGCTCTGCATCCGGAGGCTTCATTCCTCTGGCTGGTATGTGGGTAATGTGCTTCTGCTTTCCTCTCTGCAGTCATCGTCACAGTCTTGGATAACTTTATTTCATACCAAGGATTTCTTGCTTATTGAAAGGTTTTCTTTTAATCTGCATGTCTGGACACACAAGGGAGCAATGCTTTGCAGTTTGCAAGCACTGGACGGTTGTAAATCTGTGCTTGTAGCTCTTGGAACAACGTGCAGCTCCCCATTTCCTGCTGCTTTCTACCAGTGAGAGCTGCTCTGGGAGTTTCCCCAGTCCAAAGACAAGAACTACCAGCAAAAATCAATGGGGGCTTTGCTGAACAAGGTCTAGCATGGCTTCAAGAGCATCAGCTCTGACAGCACTGAGCACACACTGAAAACATGACATACAGACACAGCCAACACAGTGCTCCAGGAGCAGTTCTGCAGTTCAGCCCCCAGCTCTGCAATCCACTCAGAGCCGAGCACACGGTAAAGTTGTCTATAGTGAAGACAGATGCAAAGGGATGCTAAAAAATGTGTTTTATCTCTTGTTTCCACAGATGTGACCCAGGCTTGGAACAGTCTTCAGAAAGCCAAAGCAGTGGTACGTGTGGGGCAGGGAACGTTAGCTGTCACACGTAGTGCTCTGCCACATCCCTGTGCATCTCCTCTGCAGGATTCTCTCCTAGTGTAATTGAGAGCAGTGCAAATGTGCTGTTCGGTTTGTTGCTTTGCAGTGAGTGCACAACCTCTTCCATCACCCAGTGTGTGACTGGAAGGGGATAAGGAGCAAAGCAAGGCGTCTTACCAAACTTCCCACAGCTCTTTCACAGGGATGGTGAGCACAGAGAAAGGTTTGCCTTGCTTATGGTGCAGCCCTGAGCAGAGCAACAGCTGATACCTGCTGAGCTGCGACATCCTCTGAGTTCTCCCTGTCCTACTGTCCTCTCAGTAAGGAACACCATAACATTTCCATCGGGTGCAACCAGCTGCAGTCATGGAGTGGATGAGCAGATAGCATTATCCCAGCACGGTGCAGACTGACGCTGGGATTGTGCTGTTGAATTCACTGCAGTGACTTCGAGCTTAAGCTGCTTTTTAAAATCATCTCTGGTGAAGTTGTGAGGCAGCCATACAGGCAGAGTGCAGATAATGGAGAGAAAGGTGATTTCACCTCTTACCTTCCCCATGGGTCGCATTCTTTCCAACTGCAGGAAGCACCACCTGGAACGTGCTCAGGCATGCCAGAGCTTACCAGTAACCAGGAGCTGCAAAATTAATCAGAGGATTGTATGCCAGCAAAAGGCTCCCGTGAACAAAAACATATGTCTCCTTTCAAAAGAGAAAATCTGTCTTTTCACAGCTACAAAGGATCGAAAACAAATTTTGTCATCAGACGCGGAGCTGTGCCAACTCGCAGGCAGCCAGGGGGAAGCTTTGGCTTGGAGAAAGCTTTGGTGAGTTCTGAGCTACTGGGAAAGTGGAGAGCATTGGTGCTGGAGGAGGGGAACGTGGCTGAGGGAAGGGTGCCTTCTCTGCTGTCTGCTAGGGCTGCATAGGGCACGAGCAGCCCCACTTTGCTGGGCAAACGATGCAGTGCTGCTGCCCACCAGCTGCAGCAAAGCAAAAGCTGCTTGTGCTTTGTCTCCAAGGTTTTTTCCTGCTGACAAAATAAGACAAAAAAGCAGGCAGTTTACCCAAATTCCACAAGACTCTTAAAAACTCAATGATGGGCTGATCCACTGAGCTTGGCTGGGGCTTGTGGGTTTTCATGGATCCTTTTTCTTCCTTTGAAGCTGTTTGAGTGAGAGAAGGTGTCCAAAGGGAGAAGCCTTCCAGGAAAGTGAACCGTTTCAATTTCCTAATATTGACATAACTTTGTTACACTGTAGATGGAGAGAGAAATAGAGATGAAACAGCTCTGAAGGAGAAAAAGAGCTGTGAGGTTCCTGTGTCCTGCAGGTGAGTAATGACCTCAGTGCGCAGCACCTGGGGATGGGGTGGCAGAGGCACACAGAAATGGGTTTAAAATTCCAGGGTGCAGGACTTGTTTAGCACCTTACAATTTATTATTAAAGAAATAAAAATGTCACCAGATCATCCACCCCCAGAAATGCTGAGCACTCCGCCAGTGGAAGCAGCCCTTCCATCAGCTCCCTGCATTAGTCTGTTGCCTTTGTCCGTGCTCATAGTAGCTTGTCAGACCACAGTTCCCTTTGCGCTTCCCAATTTTATCTTTATTTGCCAAATTTCTGGTAGCAGACAAAATGCTGCTCCTATGAACAAACCAACATCACCAGCACAATGTGTTCTGGGAGCTCAACTACCACCCATGTAATAATGGCCCGCGTTTAGACGCTGCATTAAGGGTCATGGTTTAGTGGGGAGATATCACTGGTAGGTGGATGGTTGGACTTGGTGATCCTGTGATTCTGTGTGATTCTGTGTGATTCTGTACCTGTTCAGGCTTGTTCTTTTCTTTAAGAAAGAGTAACTGTGCCTCTCTGTCCCCTGCCAGGTCCCAGCCCAGCTTCCATGGGAGTCGTGCTGCCAGCCCCAGCCCACCCATGGCCCCGCTGTCCCCTGGGGGATGCCCACCTACAGCACCAGCCAGGATGGGGGCTGCAGATGGGTCACAGCTCATTGCGCAGAGCCCGAGGGAAGATTGTGGAGAGTGGGCAGATGCAGGAGGTCATGAGGTACAGAAGGGAAAACATCGCTTCTCCCCTCATTGCATGCATTGCCCCCTGGCAGGGAGCAGCCAGATCTCAGCCCCCGTGCCCGTGGCTGTCCTGCTCCCTGTGCACTACCTGCCATCAGCCAGGAGCCCCAGCAACCAGAAGCTGGAGGAGCTGCAGAGAAAATCATCCTGGAAGAAGTTAGAGCAGCTCAAGAAGAAAATCCAGGAGCAGAAGAGAAACCAGCAAGCAGCTTCTCAGGAGCAGAAGTGCTTGATTGCATCCTATGCTCGAGAGCTGCTTCAGGAGAGACCCCTGAAGAGAAAGGTGTGCAGGGTGCCTGCCCCTTCTGCTCTGTGTGCCAGAGGTCAGTGGCAGAAGGCACCAGGCAGCACAGCCTTTGCAGCAAAGCTCTGCAGGAGAAGCTGAGTGAGCACGGTGGGGATGGGTTGGTGATGGGACTTAGAGGGCTTAGAGCTCTTTTCCAACCTTTGATGATTGTCAGATCGTGGAAGGCTGTGCTCCCATCCTAACTGGTTGCATGGAGCTTCCCATCTCCCAGGCCTTTTTGCCAGGCAGAAAGCACAACATGAGTGGCACAAGCACATGGGAAATAATAGCACAGCAGTGCGGAGAGGCATCACAGGTACTTAAGGCAGGAATCGTGTAGCTCAGAGGCATTACTGAGGATTTAGTAGTTCATTCAGTGGAACAAGCGTGGATCTAAAAGCAGATATAATTAAAAGTTTAATCCTGCTTTGCTGCTAAGTTTGGGCCTGATGTACCACTCACCTGCAGCTGTCTCATTGGGTTAGTGTGAATGTAGATCTCAGGGTGCTGTGTGGAGAGATGGGATCCAGCATGGCCTTGTGCTGAAGTCCATCCCGTTGCACACAGAATCACAGAATTGTAGGGGTTGGAAGGGACCTCTAGAGATCATCAAGACCAACCCCCCTGCCAAAGCAGGTAACACCCACTCAGCAAGCTTCAGGCAGTGGGATTACTGAGGCTCTGCCGGACTAGGGAAGAGGAGCTGAGAAGCTATGCATAATAAATCTTATTGCTGTAATAGCATTAGTGTTAATTCATTGGGCGCTGCCATCCCTGTCACACACCACCAGCTTCCAGGGGTGTTTCCCTCAGATCTGTTCCATCACACTTTTTCCTGTGATGGATGGGAGCATTCAGCAGAGCTCACCTCTGCGAGCACAGCCTCGTGCTGTGCTGCCTCCCAGCTGACACAGGCAGTGCTTTGAGCCCTGCTCAGCCTCTGGTGGGTGCTCAGCAGGAAGGCAGATTTGTTTTGCTTTCAACCAAATCCCTGAATGTAACTGTCAGAGAACTACCAGAGGAGTGTTAAACATATCCAACCTTTTACTGACTTCTAATTTAAGCTTTACATGAATTCTTGTCTCCATTTTCACCTCTTGGTTGTAGACCAAAGAAAGAGTGGCTCAGCACGGGGGACTCAAACACAGAGCCAGAAGCAGCCCTTGCCCTTGCCCAGGTCCTCTTCTCCAGGGAGAGCAGCAATGGGTGAAGGTAAGAATGAAATTCATGGGAGATGACACAGATTGATGGAGCAGAGATAACAACACCTGCAAGCACACCTGCCAAAATCTGGATCTGGTTATTAAAATGATGCCAAATCCTGGGAGCCGCAGCCAAGGAACAGAGCCTGGTTAAATAAAGCAAGCAAGAAAGAAGAGGGAACAGACAGAAGTGAGCATTTGTCCAAGGAGGCAGAAGGTGATCAGAGGCAGCACAGGGATGCAGGGCTTTGTTTGTGGGTTGGATGCAGGTGAAGCATGCTGAGGCCCTGGGGGGGTCACGCAGGGCTGCCTGCTGCCCCGTTCTGTCATTGGCTTTTGGGTAAGGTTTGGCAGTCACTGCCACGTGCCCCCCCCCCAGGCTCTCTGTTGGTCTCACTGATGCCCACAGGTGTCATCTAAGAACAGCCTTAGTGACCTTCAAGCGTCTGTCACACCACTGCCTGTGGCAGCTGAATTCCAGGCCTGCCAGGATTAAAAATAACCAGAAATAGAAAATAAGCCTCATGTCCTCGGTGGGAAGAACAGACTGTCAGCCACTGAGCTCCCAGCTGAACTCAGAGTGTCTCTAAAAGGCACGTTCTGCAGCGCAGGGGCCGGGAGAACACAGGGAATGCAGCCCTCCTGCAACAGCAGCAGGAGTGAGGTTCCCACGTGCTCCTTCGTGGATTGCTTTGTGTTTCCAACACAGATCTGAACTATCGGAGCGATGCTCCCTCCTTAGTGCCATCATTCTGCAGCAGGAATGGCTGCATTCCAACCGGGTGGGCAAACAGTGGAAGCACCGCGGGTGCTGCTCAAAGTGGACAAATGTATAACTGCTGGCAAACAGGAGGCCAAAAAATCCAAGTTATCCCATGCCATGCAGATGAAATGACGAGTACAGCTGCATCATGCACTCTGCTACCACAGCCCTACTTAAAATGCATGAAATATATAATAATTTCCTCCTCCCTCCTTTTTCTTTTTTTTTTTGTTTTAATGGATTGTTTGAAAAATGGCTCGGTCTTCCTCTGAGAGTGGGTCATAATAAGGCCGTGCCACATGAAACATTCATCATTGTAACTGCCAGTGTCACGGTGCCTTTATTGGCTATTAGTTTCTGTCAGTGGAAGAGCTGAGGCAGAGCGACGGGAGATGAATGAGGGGTCGGAGGTCAGAGCCAAAGTACTCTGGAATTTGATGAATTATAAATTTGCTGTAGTTAACAAAAAATTAAGTCACAGCAGCTATAAAATATTCATCTGTTCATAGGTAGGGGGAAAAAAAAGCCAACACTGGGGAATATTTAAATCAAAAGGTTTCCTTCTGTGAGTGATTTCATCAGCAAGTCGGACTGTTCTCAAACTTTGGTGTGAGTTTTTGTGAAACGCTGCATAGATAAGGAAGATCTCCGAGGAAGCAGGCTGTGGGGCAGTGCAGGTTGTTAATTGCAACGTGTGTTGTTAGAGCTACAGATGCATCTGTCTGTGGCATTTGGGGGAAGTGGGCAACTTGATTGAACTGTGCATGTGCGGCTGTTTGTGAGGGTGGATGGTGATGGGACAAGGGGAATGGTTTTAAAGTGAGACAGGGGAGGTTTAGGTTGGATATGAGGAGGAAGTTTTTCACCCAGAGGGTGGTGAAGCACTGGCACAGGCTGCCCAAGGAGGCTGTGGATGCCCCATCCCTGCAGGCATTCAAAGCCAGGCTGGATGTGGCTCTGGGCAGCCTGGTCTGCTGGTTGGTGACCTGCACACAGCAGGGGGTTGAAATGAGATAAGCACTGCAGTCCTTTTCAATCCAGGCCATTCTGTGATTCTATGTCCCTGTTCATTGCAGGGGAGTGGGATTTTTAAAGATCCCTTCCAACTCTGAGGATTCTATGATTCTATGAACCATGATGATGTAACAAATAAATGCCTCTCCTGCATTTTAACACTGCTGAACAAGAAAGTAAAGTAATACAGTGAGGTGTTTCTTTAAAAACGCAAGCTCTTTAAAAACTCCGAGCCCATCAGATTCTGTCAGTTCCCCCCATGCCTTGTGCTGTCAGAACTTCACAGATCTGCTGGGTAATCCCCCTAGGAGGCTCCATGCATTTGTAGGAAATGCCTCCAGCCCTGCAGAAGGGATGGCAAACATCATCCTTGTGCCTCGGGCTGCACTCCCAGGCTGCAGAACTGAGGTGAGCCCCAGTGGGAACCTGCTGTGCCCACAGCACAGAGCCCAGCGCTGTCACTGCAGCCATGTGCCCAGCTGGCAGCTGCAGGGAAGGACAGCCCTGCTAAGCAGTCAGCCTCCAAGAGTGCCTCCTGTCTGAGAAATGGCTCTCAGAGGTGCTCTGCTCTGACAGCTAGAGACATGGATGTGTGCGTCCAGGAAAGCAGACTCAGTCAATTGATTTTATGGCTCCTGCTGAGCACTGATCCGCAGCTTTGAACCGAGGCTGGTAACTGTTTCAGTGTAAAATCTTTCCTTTGCTAAGAAGCTTGAATATTTTTGCAGGGTAGAATTTGCAGGGGGAGGGAGCTTCCATGCAGATATCAAATAACTTTCCATTTAGTCACTTTCTGCTTGAGGAGCATTTGCAATAAATACATAATTATGGCAGTGCGAGTGTTGGCATGCTGTGAATGCAATCTGAAATTATGAAGTAAAACAGTGATAAATGTTGCCTATTATGTGACACCACCTATTAGGCAAGAATAATTTGTTTGTGCTGCTTGCTGCATCATTTATTTTTGCATTATATATACATGGTCCCTTGTCCTGTATCATTCATTGATTCTCCACGCTGCATCCCGCTGATTCTCACCAGTTTAAAAACAAATCTCTTTGCTCCAGTGATTTTGATGTAATTACAGAGAATTCCAGCTCTCAGGTCCACCAGAATCCCAGCAAGCTACCTGCAGCCACCAGCACAGAAGGATGCTCCCTAACGCTCATGTCTGTTTCAGGTTCAAAGCTCCCTGGTGCTTCTGCATGGAGGGAAGGACAGAAGTTAGCCAGGAAGCTGCTTGGTCCACTGCCTGCATTTCCGAAGCTGAGAAGCAGAGCTGAAGAGCAGAGCACTGGAAATGCCTATGGTACAGTTGTCCTCTCTGCTACACTGCTTGTTTCTGGCACACAAACAAAAATGTGGTTGGCCGTTTGTGGAATGAATGGTTTCAAGGTCGTTCCAAGCAAGTGTGAGAGGTTTAAGAGAGTTTCATTGCCCTTGTATGTTACATTCTATACACACTCCAAGGGCCACTAGCTACATCATTTGTACAATTGGATACTGCCAAAATTAGCAGAGATTTGTCTTCTCTCTGCAGCACTGAGGATTTTACAGCAGTCCTCAGCCCCGTGGTAGGAGATGTGCTGTGAGATGCACACAGATACAGGAGCTGTCTCACCACCAAAGGAATAACACCGCTGCTCTTTCCAAATCTTCCACAGGGCCCAACACTGCAGTGTCAGCAATGGAGAACAGCTCCAGAGAAAATAGAAAAGAACCAGTGGGGAAAAGCCCTGAAATCCAAAGCTGTGCAGCTCCCCACCACGGCCCTGCTGGAAGGACCAGCAGTGCACCAACCAAAGGTGCAAAGCAAACACTCAGGAGCCTCCATTTACAGAGCCAGTGCCACCATGTCCACAGGCAGAGCAGGCTCCTGGGAGATACCATGAAGGGAAAGGTTCTGCAGCAGCACCATCTGCCTTCACCTGGACCTCAGGACATGACTCCCTCTGCCTTTAGTGCAGGAAAGAGAAGGGCTGCATCAATAACAGCTGGAGCCAAGACCAACAGCTCTGGAAGCATCCACAGCGGGAAAAGCACATCTCAGAGGTGGAC